CACTCTGCAGGTCGACGGACAATAATATGTTATTTAAACTATTCTATACTGCGCACGAATTTCGATGTGATCGAGGACAGGTGTTTTAATAACAATATTATTATACAGGTACATCGTATACATTATGCGAGTTGTTCGAAAACAAACATCGCGAATTCGCGGTTTATACAAAATATAATATGGGTACATAAAATGTTGTATTATACATTATATACCTATTGGAGAGAACGAAAAGTGATTACCACAGATACAGAGGTCATACAAAGTGTTATACAATAGAATATTATTATTATTATTATTATTATTATTATTATGTTAACGTTGTGTGTATAAATATTTAATAAATAAGTTGTGTGATATAAGTGTGTAATATATTTTACGTAATGGACAATGGTGTGTGTCGTATGCTATATTGCTATAATATATTATGAGGAATTCTTCTCTTTGCCAAAAAAAAAATAGGCAACGGGGCAAGCTGCTTGTGTATAATTAGTTTTTTTTATCCAATCTTCTGATTTATATTCAAGTTCATTGCATAGCAGCTGAGTGCTTACAGGCAACAACCCTTACCGGTGTTTTTTGTGAGCGTGCTCACGGCCTCAGAACTTACTGCAGTAATCTTAATCTGACTTGGGTATACTATTGTTTTTTACACTTACAAGTGTATACATGTATTGTCAGTGTATTGTCGTAGCATCCATCAGTGTGTAATAAACTAATAACTTATAAGTATAAAGTAATAGTATACATTGTCTAATAGGTACACATCGACAAAACTAAGAAATTGTTGAATATATTTTAAAAATATTTATCAATTTTTGAAAAATAGGAAAAATATTGGCGTACCAATAGCAATGCGACCTGCATTAACTGCAAAAAAAAACGACGAATTAGCTAAACTATATTATACATAGGTGTCGAGTACTCAGCTATACCTCGTAATTGAGTCCCCGGGATATTAAATAAAATTTGAATTCAATGTTAAATCGTTAAATACGAAAAAAAATTCTAAGCATCAGCCTATATTTCTAAGGATATTTAATTATATATTAAAATTGCTATAATTTATTTATTTTTCTATTATTAAACAAAGTAGTTATTAGCCAGTAAGTTGAATTTTCTCTACAACAAATCACATACATTTTAATGATGTAATTATTTCATAAATTGTTACTAATTGTTATCAACGTAGGTATTAACTATTAGTTAATACAAATTCATCGTTAAACGATAATATGAATAGGTTCATCGTATAAATAGGTTAAAATTGTTGTAATTTATTGCGTATAGCTAATAATAATAGTTAAACTTAGTGGCAAAAAGTTCCAAGCGAATAATATTTTTGAATTAAGTACAACAAAATGACTAAATCTATATTTCATTGAAATATCTATTTACGTTTCATTTGAACTTGAAATGTGTAAAAAAAATGTGTGTTTTATTTTATATATTTGATATTTTTAGTAGCACAACTAATGAGGAACCCAAAAAATATGTCTCATTTTTTTAAAAAGTTACACATTTTAACTAATTTTTATTAAAAGCACACAAATAGACAATAGTCATCAATGTACATATTGTATATTATTATCATAACAAATTGTTGTCCTCGCTCTACATCAATGCTAATATATATACGTAAAACTTGTAATTACAACGATATTGCCATTAAGATAAATTTGCTCAGCGATATGGCAGACTAACATGATATTCAGAATCGTTTATTTAATTATTCTTTGAGTTTTGGCTACTATGGCCATTATAGCTTTTCATGGAAGCCACTGGAAAGTTATGGTTGGTTGTGGAAAACTTGTTTTTAAGTAGAGCCAGAATACGTCACTGAGAACCCTAAGTGGTCATCCATCCAGGAGCTACCTACGCTAGACTGTGCATAATTAGTGATAAATTAATGGGTATAGTGACTGTGGTCAACCACCACTTCACACTTCTACACCAGACATAATTTGTATTTGTATTATTAAAATATCTACTAAACTTTAAAACCTAATAATTTTCCAGTCCGCTTTAACTTCAAGTTCCAAGCTCCGAATGCAAAACGCACAAAATATAATACAATATGACGGCACATGATGTTTGCTCTATTTTGTCAATCTTGATGTCATATAATGTAAAAAACTGAGAACGACATAGGTGTTGTGTTTTATGGATCGATAGACACCTGTAACAAGTGCTCTCTATTTATCTACATTTTGCAACTGTTGACAAGTATCGATGGCAGGTATGAATAATGAAAACATTATAATGGCAACTACAATTTAAGTTATTTTACTTGTTTTTTTTTTGTTTTCAATAATAGTTGACAAAATCTCAGTTTTCTCGGTCAAATATAATACAAGTATAATATAGGTTCATCGTAAATAAATTGTTCTGATAGCAACTTAATAATATATTTTAAGCACGTGGACATCATTTTCTTTACTGACATTTAAAGTTCAACATTGGATGAAAATATTATGATCTTTTCTCAGTATTATCAGGTTATAATTGTTGTATTATATTATGCAGTGTTATTGTGTCCCTATAAATAAGTACCTATAATTAGTTATTTTATTATCTAGTTTATTAAGATAGTGTTTACCTGAGCACTGCTATAAATTATTGTTTGAATTGTACTATTGGGTATAACAATACCCATTAAAGAAAATAGAGGTAGATACACCGTTTTCGATCAGAATCGGTTTTCGGAGTTCTGGAAAAATTCTGGAGGAAATAAACAAGGAAAAAAGGACAAACAAAATATTCACTAAAAAATTGTGGAAAGAATGGTACCACTTTGCTGTAAATTAGATGTCATGATGCGGTGTTGCTGTGCGGGTCACTTCTAATGGATGTATTAAAATTGAATATGAAATCATACAAAAAAACGATGATTCTGAACGAAGACGGTCTGTTTTTTTCCTTGGTCTTTTTACCGATTACCCTGTTTTATAATATCCTAATTACTAAGACTTATTGAAAATTTAACACATCCATTATACTATTATAGTGACCATCCTATTCTATGACCAAGTAGATATTATACTCGAAACCTTTACAATTTACGCAGCAGACACATATATATCCATAACATCTTTCCCAAATTTGAATATTGCATATTTATACAACCAAAATATACGTTATGGATCGGAAATCTTTCGAAGTAATATTCCTTTAAGGATTTTGCAGTACAGACTCACGACGAGCGTCCCGTTTCGTTGTTGCGGTACAACCTTCAGTCACACGAATCTTTTCCGTACCCAAGAGTATTTCTCCTCGTAATCGTACTTCGAATGCGAAACGATTTATCATCGCTTACAAATAATATTACATTACACAAAAGACATTCGCCCCTTTGGCTAGTGGCACTGGCTCGTCCAACTTTTGGGTTACCTACCTACGCTTATACCGCAGCGGTGTAATAATACACGACGCTTTTCGATGGTGCACAATAAATTTGATACCAGAACTGTAATATTGTAATGTATGCATCATTCCGGCTGTCTTCCAGTACAGTCTAATAACACGCGTGTCTTTTACAGTGATGAATTGCGTTGCACAACTACCGAGAATCGTCAGCGTTATTATATTTTTTTACGACGATCGAACGGCTCTACGTCTCTATGGTGGCGACAATCGTCACGATTACGTTGGGCTTGAACACAAGCAGGCTATTAACCTGTTCACCTATAGGTTCCTTACTATCGACTATTATACTGGAGGCAACGAGAAAGAGAGGCCAAAGGGGAAAAATTGCAAAAAAAACTGCAGTGTATAGTAAATTACCTTTATACGCAGATAATATGACAGGTAACATATTATAATGTAGTAGAGTATAAGTACACTCTCCAACGCTTATCGTCATCATTACACAATTTACACAACAGTATACACTGTACACAACATATTATTATAATACAACAGGTTACAGGTGGTAGTGTGGTACTCGTGGATAATATTATACATATTAGTAGCTGAAAACATTAATATATACTTTGATTTATACCATAATAATAATAGACAATAATGTAAATTATATTTTAATTGGAATCATTAATTGTAGGCCGTTCTCATTCATAGTTTACACCTATACATTCTACATAAATACAGAATGATTCACCAAACATATGCTCATCCCCTTTTTCCTTTAGTGACGAATTTATTCAAATTTTTATGTTTGGAATTTTAAATATAATAGGTACCTACTTGAAAACCATATATTTTCAAATTCATGAGACTCTTGTACTACCCTGCACTTAAGGAGTATCCTTTGAAGAAACAAACTTTTGTTTTTCAGATGAGAAAATTATTTTTCAAAACGTATTGATGTACCTAATTCAAAATAAGTTCTATCTGACATTACAATGTTTATACTAACTTCAAAATGTTAAAAAATTACTTTTAAAAACGAAAAAAATGCATTTTTAGCTAAAAATGGCTAAAAATGCAAAAAAAATATGAATAAAATTAGAATATTCTAAATCAAGGAAGAATGAAACAAATTTTAAGCTGAAATAGCATTGCATAGAATCAAAGGAAAAAAAAGCAAAAGTCATCAACATTCTAACTCTACTTATTATATTTTCATCCTGCTACCACTCTGTTATAACAGTGCTGCAACTTCAGCCACCGTATAACTATACCGCGTATAAGAAAATTATTGTTATATTTTATTTGTCAAGTGGACATTATATAAATTATGATATCATTAAACTTCGATTTTTATAAATTGTTTACAATGTTAAACACAATAATTAAGCCGAAGACAAACAAGGTAACAACGATCGACAGCAATGATATTAATATTAGTATACATTATATATGCATTGGTCATTTACTTAATAATTAACTACAAATAATAGGCACCTAGCTTCACGGTTCACTGTACAATGTATCTACGTTAAAACAAACAAACGATGACGGGCGGAATCGAAGTAAAAGCAGAAAACTGAAAAGAATTATTTGTAGACCCATTGTAAATAATAAATTATGATATGAACACAGAAAATAGATTAAATCGATTAATCTATTTGATAGTATGCAAGAAAATATAGTGTGTCTATAGTGATTCCGTTTTAAATTGATAACATGTGAAAATGATTGAGTGGAATTTTGAGTTTAATGTGCAAAACAGTTTCATGAGTATGTAATATCAATTCCGGACAAAGTTTCACACTGTAGGTAGGTGCCACAGTTTAAGACCGATGAGAATCGTGCACTATTTATCATAAAACAATATTATACATTTATTTAGACCACCGTCTTACGAATTTCAGTGAACCACTCCTACAATATTGAACGATTGACGATTGTAATGAGTAAGTATAATATAATATTATAATAATAATGATGATTAATATTATAATATAAATATATAATATGATACGCATTGATATGAAAAAGGTTAGACGTGTAATGATGGGCCGGTCTTATTTTAAAATGTTATATCTACTTCTCCGATTCTGCAGCATTTTATTATTAAAAATAAAATTGTAGTATGTACTCGTTTGTGTTTTTAATGATATTTTATAATTTTAAACTAAACACGATTCTTAGTATAGGAACATATTATATTAATATGGAACATTGGAACCGCACTGTACAACATCGTGGTTATTTTAACAGTAAACACTTATTTTCTCGAATCTTATCGTTTGTAAAAGTATTATAATTTAGGTAGGTATATAATTTATATACTTTACAATCATTTGAAGTCACTTTCAAATAATATTCTTCAAAAATAATAGTTCTTCAAAAAATTTAAAAACGATAGATATTTTTTAAAACACGTAAATACTTTTAAGTATAATCAGTGTTTACTGTTTAGAATCACACAATTCAATATACTGTAAGTGGCAAGAATAATAAATAAGTTACATGAATATATTTATTTATTTTATTTTTTAGGTAGTTACTAATTACTATAGGTACTTAATACATGTACTTACACAAATCACATACTCATCAAACTCGTTTCATTTATCTGGTAATTGGTACGATTGTATTTATTTTTCACCGTCAATCAATTTTTATACACCGGGCATCTGTTTGTAGGTACGTACTACACCTTGTGCATTCTAAAACAGACGCACCAAAAATTGTGTAACCTTTGTGGAAGGTCAGTGGAAAGAAACAAGACTCAGTGGTTGCTTACTTTATTTAGGTCAGCATTTGTCGGACGACAGACTTAAATAACATTATATCTTATAATATTATGTAGTTATACCTACATAAATGATAATAAATATGATTAATATTGAACTAAAAAATGTATTTATTCAGCTACAAGAAAATTAAAAAAGCATTACATCAATAATAATAATAATAATAATAATTTAATCTACTTTTCAATTACAAATAATATCCGGTATCTATTCATTTAAACGATACAGATTTGAATTCTAAAATAGTTCAACAATGGCAAAACAAACAACAAAAAACAAATAAATAAATAAAAACATTCGTAACACCTTGTTACAGAGTATATTAATTGTGAGTTAAATGATTATTATATATTATTTTGCTAGGTTTTTACATAATTATACACAATATGTAACATGCGGTGTACTCAAGCATGTCGCTAAGTCGCTAATGATTTTGCCATAATTACTCTAGTACTTAGAATAAAACAATACTGTAACCAAGGAAATCCCAACTATATATAACGTTTCCGATACCTATCTATGCTGAAAATATATTGAAGCATTTAATTGTGGCCCCAACTCCCAAGCCTCTTTATTTTAGAGTGGGATATTATATGTTTATTTTTTAAATAATTTTACTGTAAACAATAAGTTAACTCTTAAATCGACTTAAATAATATCATTACTGTATCAGTTAGAATTATCGAGTTTAATATTATTTACTATAATATGTTATGTGCCTACCTATTTAATAACGATTATTGTCACATTACGACAATATTCCTTCGTAGTGTATACGAATAGTTATGAGGATATTATTTTATTATAATACTTATATAAGAGAGTCAAATATACAATGTGGAATGTAGGTACGATGCCTGTAATCTCGACGATTTTTTATCGAGCCTACTACCAACTCGGTCAAACGACAATATTTTAGTATAATAATATTCATAATACATTAATAATAAATTATATTTTTTTCGTTTAGAGTTCATAACACTTTCGTTTCGTGAACATAAATTGTTTTACATAAAACTATAATACAATCAAATATAATATATTAATTTATGATTAATTAGATAGTACACAATACATAGTATATAATCGAACTTGATCACACTTACTTGCGTTTATTTAAATATATAACCACAGTGTGAGTGCTTACTGCTCAGTGCGTTTTTTAAACCACCATTCTACACACTCAAATGGATAAGAAGATTCTAAAAACGAGCTAATGAAAACACCTAAATTCCAATAATAACTATTTTCCTAATCGTCTAATTACGTAATCTAAGGATGATGATTAGGTCTAATGTGATATATTTTTATAAAGAAGCAAACAAAAATGTATAGCACTTTTATCGAGCTGAATGTAGCTATAGAATAATGATGTTAAGGTGAGTACCGAGTGATTAAGGTGAAAAATTAATAGCTGAACGCCAAAGTATATCCGGCAATTAGTTACGATTACTGTTTAGAAAATAATATCTCATTTATTTTTAGATAAGAGGTGGTGTACCTTTAATTTTTTTTTTATTTTGAACCAACGGCGACGACTCGGCAGAACTTCTTCCACGCTACCATAGTTTATTATACCATAAGTCCATAATACAAATATAATATATACATACATAATAGTATTATAAAACATGCATTTCTTACGTAAATACAGTTTTCGACAAAATCGATTGATTAAAGTCAAAAACAAATGACAGTAGATACTTAAAATTTCATGCTCATTGGAGGAAACTATATAGTACTAGACCATTTTCGTTTGCGATATAATTCAGGGTAGATAAGTGAAGAGGTAATTCGTACAAAAATTATCAATATTTTTAACTTTGTGAGGCAACTAGTATGCTAACTAGCAGTAGTCAACTAATACTGAATTCAAATTTAACAAATTCACTACAGTGATCCTCGACAACTATACTGTACGGTTAAGCTGTAATTATACTTACCCACATTTTATTCCATTTACTTATTTATTTTTCGTACCTTTCAGAAATTAAAGGTATTCAAATTGTAGAAACGCTGTGGACGTTTTATACACGTTCAAAAATAGATGCGATATTGTGCAACATGTGCATATACATTTGGCTGTCTGTCTGCAGCTTGTCTGGGAGAGGCTTCTAAATGGATGAACCGGGTTGTTTGCAGGTATTGTATTACTTGATAAATAAAATAGTTATTATGATTGGATCATGGTTTTATAGCTGTATTTTATATTTCATGAGAACGAGCAAAATAACTGTGTTGAAAATATGTGCATTCTTACATTTGAGTATTTGTCAGAGATTAAGAAGGAGACATTTAATTTGTCACGTGCAACCCCGTGCAGTATCAACTAGAACCTACCTTTATCTAATATTCATACAAATGTGTAATATATATAAATATAATATAAATAGATGCACTTAAACGTTGTGGAGATATTATTATTATTATTATTATTAAGTGCACAACGACAGAGTTCTTTGCCGTCCGATTAGGACGTTTAAAACTAATAATGTACATAGTAATCATTGATTGATACGAAACGCAATAAAATTGTACGTCGACGAATAATTACCATAATAATATGAGAAGGAGAAAGAAAAACTAGAGCATAACCGGGATAAATAATTGTTACGATGTTGGAGATACTTGAATGTACGCTGCAAATGTTTGTCGAGTAGAGATTATTGTGATATATTAATGCTCGGATTCCGAGAATGCGTTATCGGGACGTAAATGATAAACAAACATAAAATAAATAATCGAAATATATATTATTGTGTCTTATAACTAGCTGCTGTTCGCGACTGAAGAGTTTTAGACTCTTTTGCTTCAAAAAAAAATCATAATATTCCAATAACTTCGCCTACCCAAGGGTGAGGTATAATATATACTACTGCTGTGTTACTACTGTCACTGAACTGAATACATATTCAGTTCGGTGACTACTGTATATAAACGCACTAGGAAATTACAATGTTATACGTTTATATTATATTTTAATTTCGTTTTAACACGCTAGGTACGTCAATTATTAACAAACTCATGATGAATTAACAATATTATTGTTAATATTATTGAATAAGATGTTTTATTATTATTATTATTATCATAACATTATCATATTAACACTGTGTGTATGTTTATATGGTATGGGTAACGGTTTAATATGTAAACGACATATAGTGCATGATATGCGCGTAGGAAAGACGAGACTGCAGAGTAAGACATCATCTCTGCAAACGTACAATAATAGTAGAACGCTGTTAATTAATAATAATAAAAAAAATAATATAAAATAATACGTAGGTAGGTTTATACACTTCTATACTTCAATAAATTATCAATAGATTTTAACACGGAACATATTGTTATTATGATTATTACACCTGTACAGCATAATATTATTTTGTATTAAACAATGGATATTTACCAAAAAAAAACAAATAGTTATTGCTCGCATTTTCATCACACGTTTTTTTTAAAGACAATAAATTAGAAAACAAACCAAAAAAAAGGTCGTGGTGGTGCAGCTCTGCTGCAGTGCATCAGATGTCGAATGGTTCACTATAATAGATGTGTTAAATTTGAATGTAATAAATTATATCAAATCCTAGTAAAACGAATCTGAGACAATCTGTTGGCGCTCAGCGGATATTATATATTATACTTTGTAGACCTCCTTCAATGTATACCTATGTATGGTGTATCCAGGGGTAGACTGAGTAGGCGACAGGCTAGTCAGCTATTTTAAAACTTCGGGCCATCTCTTACTGAAAATTAATAAATATAATGAAGTAAATTTTTTTTATCAAAATACTATTATGTGCTCTCATCAGTTACCACAGTAATTGTTGATTATTAATACCTTACATAAGTCATGATCATAATAAAAAACTGGTTTTAAATTTTAGTAATCCGTGTAATAATTGAAAGTGTTCATAATAATATGTCCCTCACTCCCTCGATTGAACGTGTTCAATGTTCGTGGCTCGTTCACGTAAAATTGGACGCGTTCTTTCTAAACACTATACATTTTAGTGACTCACCAATGTACAGTAAAACGGCACCCACTTGCCTGCTTCTTAATATAATATTATTAATACATAATTACAAATTAAATATTCTATAATAAAGATAAATTGAGTTTTTAAATCTGTTGATAATATTTTACAAAATCCAATAATCGTGACACAAGTCTAAAGAAATTAAGCAGAGGAAAAAAATTAGCATTTATTTTATACTTTTCAGCCTCTATAGTAATATAATTTTCTTTTTTTTAGTTGTCTCGTAGTTAGACTGTAACAGCTTACACCCCCCCCCCCCTAAAAGAATGCCCTCGTTAGTAATAAAAATCATATAAAAACAATACGTTTAATAAATATATCGTATCAACTCAATTATTTAGACTTTAGAGATATTAATTGTATTTCTATCCTTTTTTAATACGTTACGACTTAGTTACGAATTAATTATGATTAATGTTTAGGCTTAGAAGTTAGAGTATAATATACGTACATTCTAATATTTGAAGAAAAAACAATGTCCAGTTGTTAAAAATGCTTCTTATACTTGGCGACAAAATTATTTCACTTGGTACCGACTTGACAATAATTGTGTCGTTTAGTAAATAGTAGGTATACCAGTTAAAATAATCACTGATGACTGACATCGCCATAACAACGCGACACTATTCAACTCAATTACTAACTACTAAAAGTTATAAAAATAAAATATTTCTCACCTGGTAGTTTATAAAATATGCTGTCGTTCTGACCATCGTATGAAAAATAAGGGCTGTTCAAAACTGTTGCCTCATTTTTAAATTAAATAATATTTCACATTTGCATTAAAAATAAAAATAAACAATGGGTTCAGTCTACAAGATATAACATGATGTTCTTCCGTCATCAACTATATATTATTATTTGTCTACGAAGAGTATGGGTAAAGGGTATAGCCGTATGTCCGCATAGGGATTTAGTCGGAACGAAAATAAAATAAAACGATAACAAAAATAAAACTTTCAGTAATTTTTTGAATAAACATTGAGTATTATCCAGTGTTTAGAATTCATCATATTATAAAATGCATTTTTGTCTGTTTTCATATTTCATTGTACAAAAGTATAATGTAGGGCTGAACAAAATAATAAGGCAGATGGCCAGTCCGCGATCGCTTATCAGCTAACCCGACCAGTCCGACCCTAAGTGTACGTGTACCTAATACCGATATACATCATAATTCATAATCATATTTGTTGTACACAAAAGAAAAATAAAAAAGTAAATATAATACCACTAACGTAAATATTTTTCTTCAAAATATCATATTAAATGAAGTCAAAAATCAATAAGTTTCGTTTTTGTCCGTCTCTATTAACCAATAACTATTATGAAGATAATCGCTTGAGCACTGGAGTAGGTATATCATATGCCTATGTTTGTGTGTGTGTGGATAAGTGGATTAATATATTAATATATATGTATACAGTGTGTTCACGCTGAGAGGTAGGTACCACTAAATATTTCAGTTCGATGATCTTGTACTGAAATGGGGTTTTCGCTGAATAACAGATAGTACTTAAATACACATGTTAAGATAAATTTCAGATTTTTAACACTTTCGATACGCGCATGCGCGATACAACTTACTTTTTTTTAAATGGTAACACCAATTTTTTTTACATATTCGAATAGAGTATTTTTTTCTAAACAATTTATATATGAAAAGTTTTTTTCTAATTACTAAATTGGCATATGAAATTTAACGATAAAATTTAATATTTACGAGTAATTTGTTTTTGACGAAATTTAAAACTAAATTTAACTTATTGTTACTTATTACTAGTTATTAGTATCCAATATTGTTAAATACCTGTTTACACACAGATAAGATGGAATAATGTTTGGAACATCAAGGTGGAAACTTCAAACAATTTATCCGATTGAACTGTAGAACTTCAATGCAAATAAATAAACCTTAATTTCAAATTCAAAATGTGTACAATTTTATAGTTTTCATTACCTTCAATTAGCTATCTTATTTCAGAAGAATGAATGAAAAAAATGAGAGTAAATTTTTTTTTTTTTAATCTAGAGAAATTATACAATCTGTAAAATAATCTTTTACAATAAGAACAAGTGATTTAAGGATTTTAGAAAAGATATAAAATAACAAAATAACAAACAATAGGTTAATTAAATTAAATTATTTACATCAGTTCAGACAGGGGGCTTGGGTTCAGAGGCCATCCAGTGATGGAACTTCTTGAGTAAATTACGATAAAAAAAAGCGTTTGTTTATATCTTATCTGTGTGCAAACAGGTATTTAACAATATTGGATACTAATAACTAGTAATAAGTAACAATAAGTTGAATTTAGTTTTAAATTTTGCCAAAAACAAATTACTCGTAAATATTAAATTTCATCGTTAAATTTCAAATGCCAATTTTATGATTAGAAAAAAACTTTTTATACATAAATTGTTTAGAAAAAAATACTCTATCCGAATATGTAAAAAAATTGGTGTTATCATTTTAAAAAAAGTAAGTTATATCGCGCTGGGTATATCCAAAGTGTTAAAAATTTGAAATTTATCTAAAAATGTGTATTTAAGTACTATCTGTCATTTAGCGAAAACCCCATTTCAGTACAAGATCATCGAACTGAAATACTTAGTGATACCTCTTAGCGTGAACACGCTGTATATTAATATTAATATAATCACTTAGTACTAAAATATTATTTATACTATGTAGACAAATATAAAGTACTCATAAAATTCATTTGCTATGAGAAATCAATGAAACTATTACGCGTTAACACAATATTTTTGGCTGCGGCATTACGGCTTTGAGATTTTGAACGATGTAATTCGAAAATCATCAGCTGTAGGCCGACTGCTGCAGGAAGAATAGACCGTCGGCGACCAGTGACCATTATCACGGTCAAGGTGGCCTCGGCGACCCCGTCAACTCGTTGACCTCGTTACATGGCTTTTGTAATTTTGAAGCCTGCAATTTCGAAACAGTATACATTATAATAATATCGTATTACAATTTACAATAATACAAAATTATAATATATTTAAAAACACAGGAATAAGACGAGTCAGCGTCATTCAATTTAAACACTGTTTAAGTATATATGTATATTATATGGAATAATTATTTGCAAAACTGTGATTATTTCTATGCTACTCACCTATACTTGTTTTTGATTGTTCGACCGGAGGTCGGCGCATAGTTTATACTAATCGTACACCATAGTGATATTCTATAACGGCATAATTTTAAATATCAAAAATATCGACTTGATTAACCAGTAGATATTAAACAAAAATGTCCACATTTTGTACCTAGT